AGTGTAGCTCCAGCGGAGTTACTTTTTACACCAGCATCACTGAGATTATGATGAGGCCCAGCGTTGTTCTAAGTTTCCTATAAGCAAGACAATTTGTTTTCATGCATCACATTGGTGCCCTGCAGAGTTCAGCACAAGACCCATTTACTTAGGGATTTTTCTGATCTGGAATGCAGCGAGGTGAGATTTGTTTGATAAATGATGGAGATGAGGACTGGAAGGGAGGGTTCAGATTTTTTTACCCTACTGAGTTACATTTTATATGTGGGTGTGTGATCTTTCACCAAATGCCAATGTGATCTATTCCAAATAAATTTCCACATAAATAAATATCAGTGGAATTAGCCAATGTTCTTGATAAGAGTTAATCTATTCCATCTGTCTTTTATAGGTTTCTAGGTAGGCTCTGTGCACTGCACAAAATTAAAGAGGAGAAAAGCTCAGAACAGAAAGGCATTTGTCTCTTTCTGCCCCTCCTGACTGAGGAGCAGTGTGAAAGATTTTTTTGTCTGCTTGGTTTATTTTTGAAGAGCATTGATTTTGAGGGAAGGCTTTATTGAAAAGGTCTCTATTACACTTTGATCAAGACAGTCAGGCTTTGGCTCAGTCTAGTCTCTTCTGACCATGAGTTCCATAGCTGGGTTCAGTTACTGAGGGTGTGTAGCATCCAGTGCTGTCTGGCCAGAATCTGAGCCTGTACAGCTGCACTGCCTGTGGGAAACACAGCTGTAGTCTCTAAGGTGCCACAAGTACTCCTTTTCTTCTTACAGCTGTTTCAGGAGATCAGGAACAATAACGCAGTATCTGAAATAGCCAAGTCCCATTCCATTAAGGGCTTGGAAGAACAGGGTCATGGCCTATCTCAGTGGTGGGACAGACAGCTCTGTTGGTGCTAGATGTTATTCAAGTGCTGTGAATTGGGTCTAGGGGACCCCTTATCAGACTATCCTATAGCCCAATGGTCAGAGCACTCTCCTGAGAGCTGGCAGATCCCTGTTCAAATCCCTGTTCCCCCTTGGGTGGAGAGGGAATTTGAACTGGGGGTCTTCCGCATCCTAGGTGAATACCCTACCACTGGGCTAAAAGTGATGAGGGAGCTCTTCCCTCCCCCAAACCCTGACCTCTAGCAAAAGCACCTAACTCCAAAGAGGGTTTCCAGTTGACAATTGCTAGCAGAGATAAGTGCATCCCTGAAGTCAAGACTTAGGTGCCTATCTCTGAGAGAGGGGTGGTGTTTAGTGTACACTGCTAAGTTGTATCTCCCCTTGTCTAGCTTAGGCAGCTTCCTGACTAGCATACTGGCTTTTATGAACGACAGTCGAAAGCACCTCTCTCCCCACTCATTGTATAGGGAGCCTAGGTGCCTAACTCAGGCTTTGTGAATCACAGTGTGTTTCTGTGATTTTTTTTCTAGGCACCTAAGAACCTTTGTGCATCCAGGCCTGATTCTTTAATCAGCAACATGGGAATATGCTGTAGTAATGAAGCATAGGCTAATAAATCCAGGAGAGCTGGCTGTATTTCAAGGAATCCCTGTTGAGGTTACAGGGACAAACCATCCCGATGTGTCGAAAGAATAGTAAATATGGCAGGCGACCAGCTTGGCTTAATGGTGAAATCCTAGCGGATCTTAAACATAAAAAAGAAGCTTACAAGAAGTGGAAGGTTGGACATATGACCAGGGAAGAGTATAAGAATATTGCTCGGGCAGGTAGGAATGAAATCAGGAGGGCCAAATCGCACCTGGAGCTGCAGCTAGCGAGAGATGTCAAGAGTAACAAGAAGGGTTTCTTCAGGTATGTTGGCAACAAGAAGAAAGCCAAGGAAAGTGTGGGCCCCTTACTGAATGAGGGAGGCAACCTAGTGACAGAGGATGTGGAAAAAGCTAATGTACTCAATGCTTTTTTTGCCTCTGTCTTCACTAACAAGGTCAGCTCCCAGACTGCTGTGCTGGGCATCACAACATAGGGAATAGATGGCCAGCCCTCTGTGGAGAAAGAGGTGGTTAGGGACTATTTAGAAAAGCTGGACGTGCACAAGTCCATGGAGCCGGACGAGTTGCATCCGAGAGTGCTAAAGGAATTGGCGGCTGAGATTGCAGAGCCATTGGCCATTATCTTTGAAAACTCGTGGCGAACGGGGGAAGTCCCGGATGACTGGAAAAAGGCTAATGTAGTGCCAATCTTTAAAAAAGGGAAGAAGGAGGATCCTGGGAACTACAGGCCAGTCAGCCTCACCTCAGTCCCCGGAAAAATCATGGAGCAGGTCCTCAAAGAATCAATCCTGAAGCACTTACATGAGAGGAAAGTGATCAGGAACAGTCAGCATGGATTCACCAAAGGAAGGTCATGCCTGACTAATCTAATCTCCTTCTATGATGAGATTACTGGTTCTGTGGATAAAGGGAAAGCAGTGGATGTATTGTTTCTTGACTTTAGCAAAGCTTTTGACACGGTCTCCCACAGTATTCTTGTTAGCAAGTTAAAGAAGTATGGGCTGGATGAATGCACTATAAGGTGGGTAGAAAGTTGGCTAGATTTTCGGGCTCAACGGGTAGTGATCAACGGCTCCATGTCTAGTTGGCAGCCGGTGTCAAGTGGAGTGCCCCAGGGGTCGGTCCTGGGGCCGGTTTTCTTCAATATCTTCATAAATGATCTGGAGGATGGTGTGGATTGCACTCTCAGCAAATTTGCGGATGATACTAAACTGGGAGGAGTGGTAGATATGCTGGAGGGCAGGGATAGGATACAGAGGGACCTAGACAAATTGGAGGATTGGGCCAAAAGAAATCTGATGAGGTTCAATAAGGATAAGTGTAGGGTCCTGCACTTAGGACGGAAGAACCCAATGCACAGCTACAGACTAGGGACCGAATGGCTAGGCAGCAGTTCTGCAGAAAAGGACCTAGAGGTGACAGTGGACGAGAAGCTGGATATGAGTCAGCAGTGTGCCCTTGTTGCCAAGAAGGCCAATGGCATTTTGGGCTGTATAAGTAGGGGCATAGCGAGCAGATCGAGGGACGTGATCGTCCCCCTCTATTCGACATTGGTGAGGCCTCATCTGGAGTACTGTGTCCAGTTTTGGGCCCCACACTACAAGAAGGATGTGGATAAATTGGAGAGAGTCCAGCGAAGGGCAACAAAAATGATTAGGGGTCTGGAACACATGACTTATGAGGAGAGGCTGAGGGAACTGGGATTGTTTAGTCAGCAGAAGAGAAGAATGAGGGGGGATTTGGTAGCTGCTTTCAACTACCTGAAAGGGGGTTCCAGAGAGGATGGTTCTAGACTATTCTCAGTGGTAGAAGAGGACAGGACAAGGAGTAATGGTCTCAAGTTGCAGTGGGGGAGGTTTAGATTGGATATTAGGAAAAACTTTTTCACTACAAGGGTGGTGAAACACTGAAATGCGTTACCTAGGGAGGTGGTAGAATCTCCTTCCTTAGAAGTTTTTAAGGTCAGGCTTGACAAAGCCCTGGCTGGGATGATTTAATTGGGGATTGGTCCTGCTTTGAGCAGGGGGTTGGACTAGAAGACCTCCTAAGGTCCCTTCCAACCCCGATATTCTATGATTCTATGAAATGTCACATGCTTAATTGGGACAATTTCTAAAAAATATACTCACCACAATGCCTTTCAATAACTAGCTATGAATAAATGGCACACATAATCCATTTAATTGGAACCTCTAAGGCTGTCCATAAGTCTGCTCACAGGAGTTAACTGGTGGGAGTTGGTATTTAATAGGAGAAATTTCCTGGTGTAGGGCACTCTGTTCATTTTATTTTGCTTCTCTGCTTGATGAGAGTTGCCAAATGCATCACATTTGCCTTAATATTTTAAAAATGTTTTAATTCTCTGTATTATGGGTTGTGTTTAATTATTTTTGTTCAAGAAAACCTTCCTGAGACAGTTTTGTTTTGTACTTGGTAACACAAAATACAAGTTTACAACTCACTATAACAAATATTATAAACACTGACCTCAGTGGCATTTTTTCCTTTTACACCAGCAGAGAATTTTGCCCAGTAGTATGCATTGTTTCTGTCTTTAAACTCCAAGAACTGATAGGTTTACAAAGGAAGGATAATGAAACTAAATACCAGAGTTGTGGTGATAATTTGGTGTATACTCTGATGTAGCATAATCTTGATTATCCAAACACTCTGTTATCCCAAATAGGGTCACAACCTGCATGTCCATTAAGTACTGCAAATTACTTCATTATCAGAAACTTCAATTATTCAAACTTATTCATTATCTTTCATTATGTAACTAATAGTTTAAAGGGGAAATTTAAGACCAAACTTGCTCAGAAATATAAGTTTTGAGGCAGGGAGGAGAAGGCCTTTGCAAAATCTAAAACCAACAGAAATATCTGCAGTGTCTTTGACCAAACATTAGGGCATGGTGCTAGTACAGGAGAATTAGAAAGTGAAACTGACCAGAAAAAAAAATGAAACTGACTAGTCTATTGTCCTTGTCCAATTTGAGAAAAGGCAAAAAACAAAACCAAACAGCATAAAAAGTGAAAGAATTTGTGCAAAAACAATTTACTGTTCAGTTTTAATATATTAATGTATTATCAATAATATAGGTAATGACATTCTTTTGGAAAAGAAATACCATTGCTAACCACACCACGTCCCGATATCCAGTCAATGACAGCATTTCAATGTGAAATGCCTAGAGTGGCGGTTTTCAAACTGTGGATTGGGATCCCAAAGTTGAGTCCCTTTTTAATGCGGTCGTCAGGGCTGACGTTAGACTTCCTGGGGCCTGTGGTCAAAGCCAAAGCCCAAGCCCCGCTACCTGGGGCCCAAGATGAAGCCTGAGGGCTTTGGCTTTGCTCAACCCCCATGGGGCATCAGGGTTCAGGCTTTGGTCCTCCCCCTGTGGTCATGTAGTAACTTTAGTTGTCAGAAGGGGCTCACGGTGCAGTGAAGCTTGAGAACCCCTGGCCTAGAGTTGCCTGTACTAGCAGAACTCATTTGCGTTTACCTTTGGGCTCCAGTCCGTTGGAGTTAAAATGCATCCTCTTCTGGCACTCAGTGCAACTCATCAGGAACCTGGTCACAGCTTCTCTTGGAAGGAAAGCATAGGTCTCTGCAATCTGGGAAAACAATGAGATGTCTGTGTATCCTCGATAAGAGAGACTGCTTAACGCACAGAACCTGAGTGATCACAGGCCTTGTCCCACTTCACCTTGCTCAGCATAGGAAAGAACAGTATTAACTCAGAGTGAGATACTCCTTTAAAGCCCTAGCCTGTGAAGTGCACAGTGTGTCCTTATCGCCATAATGGTTACTGGTGGAGCACAGCACCTCTCAGGAGGTGCTCTGCATATCACAGGATAAGGCCAATAGTGACCTCAGATGACAAAAAAAGACCTCTGGACTTCCCATACAGCTGACACTCCTATGCCATCTCCTATAATTACGCCTACAGGAAAGGCTGAGAACAGTGTAGCTGTAAGTTCTTAAACTCAGTGAGAGTGAGGTCTCTGAGGTTCTTGTTCAGTTAGCATTGTTAATTACCATTATACCGGTAATTGGAAGAATCCATTACTCTTTTTAGGGGAAGTCCTGTCTTTTCCACACTGAAAATCTTCTATTAACATTTTGTATTTCAATGACACATTTTATTGAGGAAACAGAAGACACTTACAAATATTAATGAATTAAATTTCTCAATACCTCTGAGGTAGGTATGAGTTACCCCTGTTTTACAGATAAGGAAACAAGGGTACAGAAAAGCTAAGGTCAAACTTTGGTGCCTAAAGTTAAGCACCTATATCCATATTTAGGCACCCAAATATGCAGCCTGATTGTGAAGCTGGGCACCCACTACTCTGAGCTGCAGCAGGTGGCTCAGCACCTCTGAAAATCTATATTTGAACCTTTCGATAGATTTTTAAGGCCAGAAGAAACCATTAGATTATCTAGTCTGACCTTCTGGATAACACAGGCCAAAGAGTTTCATCAAGTTACCCCTGTATTGAGTCCAATAACTTCTGTTTGACTAGAGCATCTTTTCCATAAAGGCATCCAATCTTGATGTGAAGGTAGCAAGAGATGGAGAATCCACCACCTCCCTGGGGACTTTGTTCAAAGGATTAATGACCTTCACTGTTTGGTCCAAATGATGTATCCTAGCAAGGGAGTAGAGGAGTCCGGAAGAGAACCCAGGAAGTCCTGGCTCCTGGTCTCATGCTCTAATCAATGGAAACGCTCCTTCTATTTTGTTTTGCTAAGGAAAATGGAAAACACTTAAAAAGCCATAGAGACAAGATAGATGAGGTGATCTCTTTTACTGGACCAACTTCTGTTGGTGAAAGACAAGGTCCGACCTGAAGAGCTCTGTGTAAGCTCAAAAGTGTGTCTCTTCCACCAACAGAAGTTGGTTCAATAAAAGATAATATTCTGGGACCAACACGGCTCCAACAACACTGCAAATACCTTAAAAATCCAAACATTTTATATCCCTTAGGTAAGGTGAGAGGGGTGAAGTGTGAACATGTTGAAAAAGAGAAAAAAGTCTCTTAGAGCAAAGGGGGCAGTATTTTGGTTGATATTTTGGATTTCTGCAAGCTAAAGTTATCATGGGGAAGAGAGACATTTATCTCCACTAAGTGGCAGCATAACCCCAGTTTTGGACGCATGCTAATAGCAGATGGATGGAAAGTTCAGAGAGGGATCTTGTCCCAAAGCTTCAAACTGGGGACACAGAGCCTGGATCGCATGGGATTTGCCTTCAGTCTCTCTAGACAAAGACCAATCTCACCATATCTTTTATGGCTGAATAAGTGTCTTTGGTTTTCAAGGAGTCTGTTAGACATTCAGTCATCAGGAACTCTCCACAAAAGGACTAAAATTCAGGCACATGAAGAATGCTGCTGGAAAACATGAGTATCTGTGAACTGCCCCTTAGCCATGCCTGTAGGACTATGACCAGTTCCCACCTCTCATGGTGTCTGCTGCAAATTTCAGCTAATTTTAGTGATACAATTGTTATTTCTCAGCTGATTTGATGCTCTGCAGAGCAGACAGCTTTCTTGATGAGTTATCTCCCATCCAAATTCCCTTTCTGATTGCCTCTCTCTGGAGGTCATGGACAAGGGCAAACTCTCCAGTGACTCTCTGATTAGAGATGGTGGAGAGAGAGAAATAGCAGGGGACACACTGAGTCTTCTGGAGTTGCCCATCCAGACAGAACCCCTTTGTGCATCAAGCCACCAGGATCTGAAGCTATATTTAATATAAAGTATTTCACATTCCAAACCTGGCAGCAAATGAATTCTAGGGCAGCGTGATGGGGTACAAGAGAGGACAGACAGTCGAGTCCTGCCAGGTCAGAAGGGGATACACACTGTTAATGTGATGATCTCAGCTCAGGAGGGAATCTGAGGGGTGGAGCATGGAGCTATCTGACTGCTGTTAGCAGGCCTGGGAAAACAGACGTATTCAGCCTGGTCCCCTGAGGCTGTGCAGTGCACAGATTAGTACTCCAGAGAGCTGAATTGAAGGAATTAGGGGAGGGTCAGAGCGGTCTGCTGTGGAAATGAGCAGAAAGTTTCTGAATTACAATCATGCTGGTGGAGTTGCCCTCCTTAATGACAGAGAGGTCATCTGCCTCCAGCCAGAGAGCATCACTGCATACAATCACACTGCAGGCCCTGCTCTACTGCAGGGACACAAGCAATGGGGACATGAGATGTACACAGAGCTCTCTGCTCCTCAGTAGGGGCTCCTGCAGCACGCAGGTCCTGTAGAGGGACTGGGCTCCACCATAGGCACTCAAGGGGTGTGCAGAGCCCTGTGGAGCCTGCAGTCTGGAGCAGGGGACAAGAGCATACTCAGCAGCCTGTATCCCTGTGGGGACTCAAGTAGCATGCAGAGCCCTGCATGATCCCAAGCAGAAGGCAAGCTCATTGCAGGGACCAGGGCAGCATGTACAGCCTAGTGGAGTCTCAAGCATGAGCCTGAAGGGTGCATACAGCAGAGAACAAGCTGCTGCTGCATGGCCAGTCCTAACAAAGAAGGAATTTTCCAAGTGGCCAGGTCCTCAGGCCTCCAGGATTCAACACACCAGCAGGAACTTGGAGAGTGAATTCCATGCTCCATGTAAAAGAAACAGGACACACATACTTGTGTTAAAAGAATATGGAGAGGAAGGAGAAATATTAACGTTTGCTAAACACACTTCTGGACAAATTCATTCCTGGTCTAAGCCTTCAGGCTGCATAGACAGAAACGTGGCGCTCTGTTCTCTAGGCAGCACTTTACGAAATGTCCCACTTGTAGGTGACTGTCACTGCCTCAGTTTTGCAGATGAGGAAACTGAGACAGAGTTAACATGGTTTACCCAAGGCCACTCAGCAAATCAGAGCTGGGAGAAAAACAGCAAACTCCCAAGCTCTAGCTGTACCCTTTTCTTCAGCGATGCTTCTCTGCAACTGAGGGGGGAAGAGAGGCAGATGGCACAGAGCAGGAGACGCAGGGGTGGATAAACATCCCCTCTCACCTGAGTAGTGCTCCAAGGTCAGTAAGGGTCAAAGCCTTTCTGATTATGTGTGGAGTTGCGTTTGTGTGTTGTTTAGCTGTGCCCTTCCCTGCCACTGTATGCTTGTGCCTCTACCCCCCACACCTTTCCTGTGTCCTCAACACAGCTGCTGTGCCGGTATACCATTCTTTCACACCGCACACGAGTGCGCATACACAGCCCTTTCCCTTGTGCCCACTCTCCCCCACATCAGACCCATTCCTCATTCTCACGCAGGAGGCCTTTCCCCTTTGCGTCCGTGCCCCCAGCTGTCTGAGAAATGCCGGAGGAAGTCTCACCGCTCGATAGGTTTTCTTCTGCCCAGCATGTTTGGGTGCTTTGCCTGGCTCTGCTGAGCTCTCCACATGCATCGAGTAGATGATGTCAAAGAAATCTTCCACCACAGCAACGCGTTTCAGAGAGATGCCCTCAGGCTCCGACAGTCCATCTGCCCCCTACAACAGCACAGGCACGTTGAGTTAGTATCAGTGATGGGTGACAGGGGTGATGAGATGGGCCTCGGGCTAATGTGGTTGGAGGGAGGGACAGGCACAATGTTCCAACCCTGAGCTGCCTTGAGCACATAGGATATGGGGGGATAAATTAAACAGCGCTCCAGGGAGGTTCCTATCGGAGCCAGGGCAGCGGCGGCTGCTGCTGCTGTTGTGCTACTAAAGCTTCCAGTGAAAATGGACCAAGAACAAAAACAAGGGAAGAGTCCGGAGTGGAATTTTAAACAACTGAAAATTTCCATTTTCATAATTTAGAGCAATCTCACTAGGCTGGGAATAGGCAGAAGAAGCTCTTTGGATTTGCACATGATACCCACCCTTCTCGGGCCGGGGGATACTAAACAGATGCAACCCCCCCAGACTCAGACCAATTAGCAGGGCCAGCTTTTACTGTGATGCCAGGATGAGGTCCCTGAAGAACAAAACTGAATCACCTTCCTACCCTGCGCTGACCTTTCCAAGATCACTCTCACACACACAGCAGCTGAGCACTAGCAGGACCATCACGGCTCTTTGTGTGTTAGGATGTGCTGAAGAACATGAGGCTGTAATCCTGCCACATGGCAATGGCGAGAGACTGGTGAGGGTGGAAAACGTGGTGAGCACTGTACCTCTTATCTGGCTGGCACGAATGGTGTCAACTCACAGTGGCAAGGTTTGCCAAGAAAAGAAGCAGCATCCTTCAGTACCCAGCAGCTGCTAATGTCGCTCCATCAAACAGAACCAGAGCCAGGTGCATTGATGGGAGATGGTAGGGATATCTAGTCTAGTGTAAAAGTAAGGCTAGTTTATTCTAGGAGTCAGGCTCCTGGAGAGAACATTCAGCCTGCTGCTTAAGAAAATAGAATTATTGTATATATGTGTGTGTATATATACACACATGCACTTAGGTGGTATTATGGGCCTGATTTCCAAAAGGTTAAGCATGTAAGCCCAATTTGCATATGAAAAGATTGTCAATGCACATGCAAGTTGGGCACTTGTGCACGTAAATGACCCACAGCTCCTCTTTTGGATACCCATTTTGCATGTGCAGTCACAGTAATTACACATGCAAATTATGCATAGAGTTGCACATCTATTTTTTTATTGTCTTGTGTACACATTTACTATATTCAAAAAAATGAGCCCTGTTCTTAAGCAACCACTCAAGGGACTGTCAAAAATCACTTGTTCAATGGAGATGGCCTTCTAATAAAGGTTATATTCAATATGGATTTGTAGATTCCAGGACCTGAATGGACCACAGTGATCATCTAGTCCAGGGGCAGTCAATAGGCGGACTGCAGGCTAAATCTAGGCAGCCAGATACTTTTGAAAGGACCCTGAAATCTTTTTATTTACTTATTATCATTATTTCTTTAATTATTATTTTCTCTGGAGTCTGGACCTGGACTATTGCTTGACCAAGAAATTTGGACCTTGACAAAAAAAATAGATTATCCCTGATCTAGTCTGACCTCCTGTAAAACACAGGCCATAACACTTCCTCAAAATAATACCTAGAGCCAGATCTTTTAGAAAAACATCCAATCTTGATCTAAAAATTGTCAGAGATGGAGAATCCTTTCAACTCTTAGTAAGTTGTCCCAATGGTTATTTACTCTGTTAAAAATGTATACTGTCCTTATTTTCAGTCTGAATTTGTCTAGCTTCAACTTCCAGCCATTGGATCGTGTTATAATTCTCTCTGTTAGACTGAAGAGCCCATTATTAAATATTTGTTCCCCAGGTAGGTACTCATAGGCTGTAATCAGTTATCCCTTAACCTTCTCTTTGTTAAACTAAATAGATTGAGCTCCTTGACTCTATCACTATAAAGGCAGGTTTTCTAATCCTTTGATCATTTTTGTGGCTCTTTTCTGAACCCTCTCCAATTGATCAACATTCTTCTTGCGTTATGGACACCAAAACTGCACACAGGATTCCAGCAGTGGTCATACCAGTGCCAAATACAGAGGTAAAATATCTCTATTTCTACTAGAGATTCCCTTGTTTATGCCTCCAAAGCTCACATTAGCCATTTTGGCCACAGGGATGCACAGAGAGCTCGTGTTCAGCTGATTATCCACCACGACCCCCAAATCTTTTTCAGAGTCACTGCTTCCCAGGATAGAGTCCCATCATTCTTTGTTCCTAGATGTGTACATTTACATTTAGCCATATTAAAATGCATATGGTTTGCTTGCGTCCAGCTTACCATGCCATCTGGATTTTAGTATCAGCACCTGTCCTCTGCATTATTCAGGCACCCCCCAATTTTGATTTTGAGACCTATCCCTTAGCCACCTTTTAATCTATTTAATGTGTGCCATTGTAATTTTGTATCACTCTAGTTTTTTCATCAAAATGTCATGTGGTACCAAGTCAAATGCTTTACAAAAGTTTGACATGTATATTATATCAACATTATTACCTTTGTCAACCAAACTTGTAATCTCATCAAAAAAATATCAAGTTAGTTTGACAGGATCTATTTTCCATAAACCAAGTTGACTGGCATTAATTAAAAATAAAAGGAGGGTAATATAATTAATTGAGTTCTGTATCAGCCACTCCATTATCTTGCCCAGGATCGATGGCAGGCTAACAAGCCTATAATTCCCCAGGTCATCCTGTTTATCCTTTGTAAATATTGGCACAACATCATCTTTCTTATAGTCTCCTGAAACTTCCCCAGTGTTCCAAGACTTACTGAAAACCAACATTCTATGATTCTAATGGTCCAGTGAGCTCCTCAGCCAGCTCTTTTAAAACTCTTGGATGCACGTTGCGGACCTGCTGATTTTAAAACGTCTTAACTTTCAGTAGCTGGAAAGAATGTTGTTATATGATATTATGACATTTGTTTTCTCCCCAGATCAGAACAGAAAAATGTATTGAACACTTCTGCCTTTTCTGTATTATTATTATTGATAATTCTACCCTTTCCATCTAGTAATGCACCAGTACCGTTTTGTTCCTAATATACTTAAAAACTGAGGCTGTATGCAGACCAGCAATCCTCAGTGCAGGGTCAAAATGGGGATAATTACAGCAACGGGACAAAGAAACTGCACAATGTGAAAAGCACAAACAGACATGACATACAAGGTTCTTACCAGGTTCAAGGGGAGGTGTGCCCTACAAACACCTCAATAAACCACCCCTTACAGGGCCTGCAGCCACTTCCTCTCTTCCCTTCACCCCCCATTACTGCTCGCCACAAGTGTTCAAAACCATGAGCCAGGCCCCCATAATAGCATGACACTGACTTAAAAATCATGAGGAAGGTGGGGACCATGAGGGCAGTTTGGCTTCAGCCCCCTTAACAGGGTTCCCAGTTTTGGTTGGACATATTCCTGGATGTTTTTTCCATGACATAATTTTAATTCCTGGAGACTCCAGGTCAATCCTGGAGGGTTGGCAACCCTACTCCTTGAAAGTAACAGGAAGTGGCAGCCATTTTGAATAAGGGGAAATTCATAAGTTTTACGTCAGGAATGATGCAATCGTGTGAAACTTTAGAAAACACCAAATATTGCAAAACTCGAAATAAAATCATGAAAGTTGGCAACCCTTATCTTCCCTCACACAGGGTCTGTGATCTTGCATCCTTATCCTCTCTCCCATTCATGGGGCCCGTGCTCTCTTCTAACACACTCTCCACACAAGGCCCCTGCCATTGCACCCATATCTTCTCTCCCCCCACTTAGGGCCCAGGGCCCATCTTCCCCCTCATGGGACCTGTGTGCTCTTTCTCCCTGTCCTTCTCGCAGGGCCCATGCCTTTGCCCCCAAGCCTTCCCTCTCCCCTCCTGAGGCCCACCCTTTCTCCCTCCCTCTCCCCTTCATAGGGCCAGTGCCCCCTTCCCTTCACAGGGCTGTGCACTTCCCCTTCTCAACCCTCTCACCAGGCCCAGGCCCCTTCTCGCTCTTCACAGGGCCTGTACATTTGCACCCAAGCCCTCTCCTGAGGCCCATGCCCTTTCTCCCACTCTCTCCCACTCCTGGGACCAGGGCTTAGGGTTGCCACCGCTGAGGTACAAAAAAATGGGACATCCGGGATGATCCTGAGCCCATAAAACTGGCCAGCTGGCAGCATGCACTGAGCACCCTTAAAGATTTCCCAGGACAGCTACCTCATAAAAGGACTGATCCTTGGAGAACCTGGACCGGTGGCAGCCCTTTCGGTGCCCCCTCTTCTCTTCTAGACCTATGCTCCTTTCCCCTTCACGGGGCCATGCCTCCGCTCCCTCTCTCTTCACCCACTGGGCCCATGTCTGTTCCTGCTCTCCCCCCACGGGGACCATGTACTTTTTCTCCTGTGCCTTTGCACCCAAGCCCTCTCTTCCCTTTCTTGAGCCCCGGGCCCTTTCTCCTTCTCTCACCCTTATGGAGCTAGAGCTCCTTCTACCGTCTTACAGGACCTGTGCTCCTCTCCTTCTCCCCCGGCTCATGAGGCCTGTGCCCTCTCTACCTCTCAGGGGGCCATGTCCCTCTCCTCTCCCCACTCATGAGCCCCACACCTCCTCTCCCTCTCCCCCTCACGGGACCCATGTCCTCGCCCCTCTGGGCAGGGATTTTCCCTGTGCACCATGCGAACTGCAGCCAACTCTGCAGCCTGCCTGGCGCAGCAGTTCCCAGGCTGGGGGAGGGGTGAATCACTGCCCACATAGGCTTGGGGCACGGTGCTAGAACCCTGCTGCCGAGGACCCTGCGCCCCCGTTGGGGCTGGCAACCTGGCTTCGGGATCTACATAATAGCGGCAGAGCATCTGAGTCAGGCTCCATCCCACCCCGGCCCTTGTTCCTCTCTAATAACCACACCACGCTCCCCGCCCTCCCTCTGCAGGCAGCCAGAGTGGCCTGCTGCCAGGGCTTGGTGCCTGAACCGCCCAGCTCAAGGCTGGGCGCCTTCCCTCGCGAGTGTTAATGACTGTTGACAGAATACAGAGGCTGCTTC